CGCCCCCCTGCATCAATGTCAGTTTGTGGAACTTGTGGACCAAATTGAAACAGAATATGGAAACCTCATCATGCACACTGAAGTGCGCTGGTTAAACCGTGGTAAATTACTGGACCGCTTCCTGGCACTTCTACCAGAAATCAAGCAGTTTCTTACTCAGAAATCTCAAGTGTACCCAGAGTTAGAAGATGAAAACTGGATTTTGGATGTGGCATTTCTCGTCGACATCACTAGCCTAGGTTGTCCATCATTGCCTTAAGGCATCTGAAGAACTGGAATGTCCCACTTGGACCCCAGAAGTTTTAGCAATTGCAGAAATACACCGGGAGGTGTGGGCCAACAATTAAATAGACTGTGCTAAAATTGATGCAGCAACCCTAGTCACAGGCCCTGATCCCCCACATCAGAAACAGTACAGGTATCCCAAGGAAGCAGGAACTAGTCTAAAAGAAAAAATTGACAGATTTTTAAGTCAAGGAGTTTTAGTGGCACAGACAAGCCCCAATAACACTGCTCTATGGCTGGTCCTTAAGCATGATGGCAAGACCTGGAGACTCGTGGTAGACTTTCAACCCCTTAACTTGGTTACCCTGCCAACAGCCCCCCGGTGGTTGAGTATCAGGTGGTGATGGCTTCCACTGTAGGAATGGCCTAGTGTTTTTGGTATTAGAATTGACCAACACTTTCTTTGCTACCCCTTTACACCGGGACAGCTACTATAAGTTTGCTTTCACCTTTCAGGATAAACAGCTGTGTTTTGCCAGGGTTCCCACGGCCCGTAGTAATGCCCCAATTATTTGCCATGCCCACATAATCAACATGTGGGAGGGGATGCCTGTGATTTCTTATGTGCATGATATCCTGGTCTGCACTCAGACCAGAAAAAGAGAATTTGGAGGTACGGGACAAAGTATTGCAAAAGATTTAGGATCTGGGTTTAAGGTAAGCCCAAAGAAGGTCCAGTTGTGCTGCCAGCAGGAAAATTTCCTCGGCGTAACCCTAGGACAAGAAGGGCACTCCCCTGACCAACAGAGGGTTGAGCTGATACTTAAACTCTCAGCCCACACAGACGTCACTGCTGTTAGATGCTTGTTTTATAACCTGTCTCTCCAGGAGGAAGTGGGGGAAAACAGTTTATGTCTGTTTTGTGGCTTGATAACCTTGTTGGCGATGTGGTCCTGTGGGTGGTCTGACTCATGTCTGCTGCTGTCTGGGGTCTTGCAAGTCTATTCTGGCATGGGTGTGCCAGATGCTGTCATAATCAAGACTTGGGAGAACTGCATGGAAGACTGTGTAAAGTGAACGATATCCTTGACATTACTCCAAATGCTAGCTTTATTTTTGGAGAAATGCTCACTCTTGTAGGCCCTTTGAATGGATATTACCCCACTTAAGGTTAAAAGGCCTGGATAGAATAAACATCAGAGTGGGACCTCAAAGTGCATTATAATTTGGACTGTGAATGGTAATGTACTGTGGCGGCTACAGAATCCTAGAATGATGGGCAGAAACATCACCATCCTCATGCATTTACTTTGGTGGTGGGGTAATTGGGGTTTATCCATGGAGCCCAAATAGGAGATTAGGTTGTCGCTGGGTGGGAACAGACTGGCTGTTATACAATTGCAGCCAGATTAAGCCAAAGTGTGCTCGGTTGTGGACTGACCTGCCTAAGAAAACAGCCCCCGGAAACAAAACAGTCCAATTTAAATTAGACTATGCCGCCACTTTCATTGACAAGCAGACACATTTGGAAAAGATAGAATTGCAAATAGTCACACCTGGAGGGGAATGGCAGATCCTCTTGCCCTTTTCCACCAAGACCTAGTGGCCTCCATAGGAGGACCTCCTGTTTCCACAGTGCGGTGTGCTTGTAAGGATGTTATTAACATGTGGCCTAACTTGATGGGGAAATGGCTTCTACAGTGCCCCCCTAGGGTAAAACGTTGCAACTTTTGGGTCATGGAGTCCCCAGTCACCAACTTAATTGGGACCTATGTTGTCTGAACCAACATCAAAAAACAATTGGTAATCAACCTCACCCACTCCCTCAAAAAGGTCATTCTAGACCTGAGCTTAACAAATATCTCAGTAATAAAAATGCTGGTTTGAGCAATTTGTCCCACCCTTATTTGAAGGTTGGAAAAACTGAGTGGAATTTACATGATATCCCCAAACTGAAAATCTCGGGTGGGGGATGTAGGAGGGTAAAGAGGGACCTATGGGGAGCCGTGGCGTAGCCAGGATCCAAGAGCAGGGGGAGCAAACATAAAGAAGGCACCCCCCTCTTGGCTCCTCCTCTGGCCACGCCCCCTTGGTTCCTCCTCCAGCTGCTCCGCGCCCCCCCCTTGGCTGGCTCCTCCGGCTGTGCCGCCCACCCCATTGGCTGCCGGCCACCATGCTGCACCCCTACTTTCTCCTCCGGCCATTCCCACCGCCACGGCCCATTGGCTGCGGGCCG